ACCAATGTCCATGCCTAGCCACCCTTGGCTAGAATTCGATTAATAATCTCAAATGATTACAAGACCTTTGTATTCTCCTATACTTGGGCAAGTACAACCCTTTATACAAACAAAACATGTACTTTCCAACAACATGTGATAATATAAAATATTATAATAATTTATCACTCAATATTTTTTTAAAAAACAAATTCTCATATACACCCAAATAATGGATAACTATTTATATAAAATTTTTGAAGGGACTAAGACAAACCTATCATGTAGAATCATTGTCCTTGCATACAAGCTGGGGGCCCATTATGTCAAATATAATGCTTCAAAGTTGCTCGACAAATGTCCCAATAGCTCACTCAAAGATATAAACATAAGTGACACAATTGTAGAGGAAGCTCGCCTACCAAACAAAATCCATTTTAAGGACTTCAAATAATTCATTTGACCTTTTTGGGGGGGAGTCACCAACCTAACTCCAAAGGAGGTCACCATGACCTCAGTAGAAGCAACCTCTCTAGTAAGCATCAATTATACTAAACACACAAGGGATACTCACCTTGGGAACCACATATTCAGTGGCACATCTTTAGAATCAAAAGGATAGTCACTCTCCCAAAACTCGATGTATCACCAGGGGCAGATTTACACTGGGGGCACTGGGGTCACGTGCCCCCACTGAACTTTTTACTTAATGTCTTATTAAATATATTTATTACTATCTAATTATAACTTAAAGCAAAACTTAGGATTTTCGGCTCTAAAATTAACGCTAGGACGGGAAACCAAAAGGGATGAAACTCAAAAAGTTTAAAATATTTCTCTCTTGCAACCAGAGGGCGGAAGATAAGGAGGACCGCGTAGACTTGCATGCTCGGCGGTAAGAATATGTCACTCCTCTCTCTTCATCTCTCTCTCCTCATGCTCGGCGGTAAGAATCGCGAAGGCGGAAGCCGCCGCTGCTCGCCTACTCCCTAGTATTTTGTATTTGCTGGCCGCTGACGCCCCTGCTTTTTAGATATTTTTTTCTTTGCCATTTAGTGATTAAAGCAGTTTTGCTATTTATTGGTTGCAAGCTGATTTCTGTTGTTTTTTTATTTCTTTCACCCCATTTTGATTTAGTGCCTTAGAAGCTAGAAAGTATTGACATTTTTACATTTTTTTTTCGGAAATTACATGTATATTATTGCTTGGACTTATTTATTCAGATGCAATTTTTCTTATCTACTCCTGTTTTATCCATCGAAACCAGATGCATTTTTTTTTATCTGTGCGGTTTGTCTATATGTGGGCTGATTTTTTGTGATGACTTTGCATATTGAGGTGATATTGAAATTTGAGGAGATATATGTGGATACAGAATTGCGAGTATTCTACTAATCTGTAACAATTGACAGGCATATATTTTAGTTATTAATCAATTTAATAGCATTATTTTTTTATGTAAGTATAAAATTCTTAAACTAGTTGTTATTAAAATTAGAAATGAAAAGATATTTCAAAAGAAAATTCGAATGAGATGATCAGAAACGTTTTTTCGAGGAAAAAAACACTCAAATTCAATCAGTTTTTATAGAAACAAATTTAGCTGATATCCCTGCCGATCCTGCATTGAGAAAAATAATTATGGATTTTCATCCTAATGAGAGGGATAGTGTGCGCAGACATTACTTGCTGAAAGGACCATGCCAACCACGTGATCATGAATTCCCACGTACAAAATTTGGAGATAAATTACGTAGATTTAATCCTGCATGGTTTGATGAACACAAGACTTGGTTAGAATATAGTATAAGCAAAGATGCAGCATTTTGTTTGTTTTGTTATTTGTATAGACCACAAAATGGTGAACAGTCTGGCGATGATAGTTTTGACATGAAGGGTTTTAGAAATTGGAAAAAAAAGGATAGATTTTATATTCATGTTGGTAATATCAACAGTGCACACAACATTGCTAGACGTAAATGTGAAGACCTAATTAATCAAGAAAGAGATATCAGATTTGCTTTTGAAATACCTTCTGATCAAAATCGCAAAGATTATTATACACGATTAAATGCAAGTGTTGATTGTGTACATTTCCTTTTGCAACAAGGTTTAGCATTCCGTGGACATGATGAATCTGAGAATTCAGATAATCAAGGAAACTTTCTTGAACTTTTGCATTTTCTTGCTAGACATAATGAAGATATCAATAAAGTTGTTTAGGAAATTGCTTCTCGAAATAATAAACTAGTAGCTCCAGAAATCTAGAAAGAAATCATAAAAGCTGCAGTAATTAAGGTTTCGAATGTCATAATCAATGAACTAAGAAATAATGTATTTGATGTTTTACTTGATGAATCTCGTGATGTATCAATTAAAGAACAAGTTGTTGTTGCATTACGTTATGTTGATTCACACGGTTGTATTATTGAGCGTTTTATTGGGATCGCTCATGTTAGGGACACTTCAGCTCTAACACTAAAGTTGGCTATTGAATCACTTTTTTCAAAATATGGGTTAAGTGTGGCACAACTACGTGGTCAAGGTTACGATGGAGCAAGTAACATGCGAGGTTAATTTAATGGACTGAAAACATTAATCATGAATGAAAATTATTCAGCTTATTATGTACATTGTTTTGCACACCTACTTCAATTAGCATTAGTTGTAGTAGCAAAGAATCATGTCCTAGTTGCTTCCTTTTTTAATAGTGTGACTAGTTTGTTAAATATCATTGGTTGTCCAAGCAAACGAAGAGATATGCTAAGAGGAAAGCATTATGACAAAATACTTGAGCAACTAGAAAGTGGAGATATTACCAAAGGTAGAGGTTTAAATCAAGAAATTGCTCTTCAAAGGCTAGGAAACACTCGTTGGGGTTCCCATTATAATTCACTGATCAGTTTAATTCTTCTATATGGATCTATAATTGAGGTTCTTGAGATATTGATACATGAGGGATCTAGTAGTGAGAAGAAAGGCGAAGCTTATTCCCTACTTAAAACCATGCAAATTTTTGAATTTGTTTTCAATTTGCATATGATGAAGTCTATATTGAGAGTTAAAAATGAGTTATCACAAGTACAAAAAAAGGATCAAGACATTATAAATGCCATAACTTTGGTCAAAGTTTCTAAACAAAGACTTCAAAATATGATAAATGATGGGTGGGAAAATTTTTTAAAGGAACTTGGATTATTTTGCGAGAAGAATAACATAAATATTCCAGACATAACTGATACATTTGTGCTGCGAGGAAGATCAAGGCGTCATACTGAAAGTATAACAAATAGACATCATTATCAAATCGAATTATTTTACACTGTTATAGATATGCAACTTCAAGAGTTCAACAACAGATTTAATGAAATTAATACTAAATTACTTATGTGTGTGACATGCTTGAATCCGCGTCAAACATTTGCAGCTTTTAATAAAGAACGATTGCTACGTCTTGCAAAATTTTATCCGTCAGATTTTTCAGAAATAGATCTCATTATACTAGACAATCAAATTGAGAATTTCATTGTTGATATGAAATCGAATGATGCATTTATGAGTTTAAAAGGACTTGGAGAACTTGCTCAAAAAATGGTGGAGACTAGGAAAAATGACATTTATCCTTTGGTGTTCTTACTTATAAAGCTTGTTCTGACATTGTCAATTGCTACAACAACAGTTGAACGAGCATTTTCAGCAATGAATATTATAAAGAATCGTTTACGCAATCATATGGGGGACTCTTGAATGAATGACTGTTTACTTACTTAAATTGAAAAGGGTATATTTAATAGTATTGACAACAACTTGATTCTGCAACGATTTCAAAACATGAAGACTCGACGGGAGAAATTATAGATGATAGTTAAGAAGAATCTCAAGAATTATTGTTCTCAATTGTAAGTTTTTTTTGTTTATCATATGTTTTATCTTTTTTCTAATGAATCAAATGATTAAATAAAAAAAATAAAACCGCCCATGCCGGTCCCAAGCCCGAATGAAAAATGTTGAGGGTTTTTTTACTTCAATGATTTGTGCCCCCACTTGAGAAAAATCTTGACTCCGCCCCTGTGTATCACCGCCCTTGATTGAGACCTTAGAACTCGTTGCTTTAGTCGAGAGAATTATGTTACCCTGATTCAAATTTCAATCCAGGAGAAGTAGGCTCACTAGACCTTACATGATTTAGGCCATGTCATTCGCCTCCTTACACCCCAAGAAGCATTCACCCTCTTGTCAGCTGTCACCCTTTCTAAGGCAAAATGTTACCTTCATCAATTTCATGTTAGACAAAACTAACTAGGCATGATCAATCATTTTTATCATACTTGCAAGTCACTACAATTTTTTAAAAATGTTGAAAGAGGTGCAAATTCATAGTGAAGTACTCCTTATTAAAGCCGATGCTGTCACATCATGACCATCATAGAAAATCTATGTAATAATCAATGCTATAGTAAAAATAAGACAATAGCCCTACATATTTTCATAATTGTTTGGCAAACTAATTAAATAATTCCCTTATTTTTTTATCACTCGCCCTCCAAGAGTCAAGTGAATAAGAGAACTAAATGCATACTCGCATATTATCTTCCAATTATTCAACAAATAGTCGGCACCAAAACACCAAGGCTACTCGTCACTACCTATGATAGAGCATTACCAACCATCCTCATCACCTCAACTATAAGAAAATATCTATTCAAGAGGATTCCAACTCAACCATCAAAGTCATCCAACCATGGAACTTACCATCCCCATAACTCGAGCACACTCACCTTACATTCCTAATTAATTAGTTACAACATAGGCCACCAATGACAGACACATTTGTTCAACAAGGTCGGGTATCACCTGCAAACCAACTTGGATCCAACAGAGATTCTTTTTGGTCAACAAATCACCGCCTCGAAATTTTAATTTAAAAAAAAACGAAGATTCTTATAATCCAGAGAAATTTTGATGAAATCATGGATATTTTCTTGATGCAACATTTTGTTTGATCGGAATGCAACAGCATGGAAGATGGACAATTTGCACTGACAATTCTTAACGGATAGACAACAGCAGAACAGTTATTTCAACTGCTTAATTAACAATATTTAACTCAATTCATTGAGACATTGATACAAACGCCATATAGAGAAAATTGTCACGGCTTCGCTTCCTGACGGCTGATTGTTATTGGGTACCAATGTTACGGATAAACAATAATATATACATTTTTGTTTATATGTTAATAACTCAACAACCGCAATGGTGATAGATTAATTAATTAAACTAGCCATTATGAACCCAAATGCCCAATCACACCAACACGGTTAAATCCTTTAGCTGCACCCAACCATACGCACATCGATCTCTGATCTTCTGTATCACTGGTACTGCAAGAGTAACGGCAGAACGGATGATTGGGAAATCCATTTCAAACGCTGCTATTGATTTTTGATCGAGCTGCAGACAATATCAATGAGTTAATACAGAGTTCATACTATAACAGCAAGGAAAACGCCATGAATCTGCTTTCAAGGAGTTACCTTCTCAATGCACCTTGTAGCATCTAGCACAAAAGAGAAGTAAGAAAGTTGCCGATACAAGTCTGCCTCATTGTACTGCAAAAATTGTTGCAAGCAGTTCTTCAGGTTGAGCACAAAATAATAAGAACTGAAATGGCTCAGAGTACCAGATTATATAAGGAATGCTACTAAGAATAGGAAGAAAAATATTACTTGTCTCACAAGGCGACCATTGCAGCGAGGGTAGTTTGGGCAGACAGTGCCTCTTTCAGATTCGCCTATGACGCTAAGGTTCAAGCCACGTGTGGTGTATTTACACATCTCATCATCACACTAATAAAAACATAGAACCCACTATAAGTGAATGAATTTCCAAAGAAACACATAAAACAGAAGATCGTCATAGTTATGAAGGTCAGAAGTTGGAGTTATGATGATTTAGCTCTTACCGTCATCAGTCCTTTATAGTACAAGGAGATGAAACTCTCCGCCTGCCTCTTCACCTGAACCAGAGCGCCCCCATTAGTAGCTAACAACAAACATGATGTGAAACTGTGATAAAAAAAGGTATTCACCTGATTAGCTATCATTGCTGGTGTTATTTTGCAACCCTCAACATGATCTGGGCATCTTGAGCATTGCATTCTGTGCCAAAAGTTTGCATCTGATTTGTTTCCTGCCTGCGATTCAGATGTACTTTCATTTCCCCTGGAAGAAAAGAAGCTGGATACAGGAGGGCAGTCAAACGAGCTAGAGCAGCTTGGGCATGTTAACCGGAGTGGCTCGCAGCCATGATACCTGCAAGGAGTTACTTATTTATTCAAAAACAATATACTCATCAAGAGCAGTCAAATATCAAATTAATTGAAATATTCACCTCTCATCATCATCTATTACAGACACAACTATGTTTGACGAATCCTTAGTACCAGCATCAGATGACTTGTATTGGAACTAAAGAAGGTTTAAGGATCATGTCAATTAACAAGAAATTGAGATGCTAAAAACAGCAAAAACTGTGCATTACCTTTGACGAATCAAGCCCAAGGCAATCAGCTAGCCTTGCTGGACTAGTGCCTTGAATACAAGCGCATAAGCGTGAAACTACTGGATGAATCTGCAGAAAGTTATACACTCTTTCAACTGAAAAGTATTTAACTTAAAAGGAAACGTATGGTCATTCTGGAATACTCTAATGCAATTAGAAACCTGTTGCGACAAGTAATAGTCAATGTCAATAATCCATTCACCATTGTCTCTTGTCAGCTCCTCAGGATGCCTGGCCCTTTGTGCTATTCCACCGGAGGCACCAGAAGAACCATCCTAATAATAATAATAATAAATTAGTTATTAACTAAATCAAACTAATCATCAAAAGATCACATTATCATTCTCATTTAGTATTAGGAGAACTAAAAAGAAACCGACCACTGGTTTTCATCAACTCAGTACATGACAATATATTATTGCTAATATCTTATTTAATAAAAGAGATTAGCATATAATCAAACTTATTAAAATGGATATATTAAAACAGTGATTATTTTCTTATAAGTAAAATAGATCATTTATATCGCAAAAATTATAAAGTTATTCCTAATGAAAGTTTATGTATCCAATATTGCTGATTAGTTTAAGACTTTAAAATGAAGGGATAGAATAAAAAAATGAAATAAAATATTATCCTAAAATTAAATCGGAACATTTAAAAAACACAAACAAAAAATATTTCTAAGAATATTTTGACTATGCATGAGGAAACTAATGTTATGTGGGAAAAAATAACTAGTGTTATTATGAATATTGCAAATGACATGCATGAAATACTAAAAGGAAAAGTCCTTAATAGTAAAGAGTATGTGATTTATTCAACAAATGTAGATGAGATATTTTGATAAACTATTCAATAAAAATTATAAGAATACGATTAACTTTAATAATCTTAACACCCTAAAGAAAAATATAAAATTTTGTTTATCGTCGTATTAATAAAAGCAAAATTAGAGAGGCTTAAAAAAATAAAGTCTAAGAAAGTTGTTGAACATGATGATATTTCAATAAAGGTAAGAAAATGCATAGGAGATTAAAGAACTTCTTAGCTTACGAAATATTTCAATATTATTTTAATGACTAAAAAAATGTCATATGAGTGGAGAAGTATGTAGATCCTTATTTTTAAGAATAAAGGTGATGCACAAGAGTATGTGATTTATAGAGGAATTATATTAATATGTTATACTTTAAATTATGAGAGAGAGTTATTGAGCACAGGTTACGACATGATACTAATATTTCTCAAAATCAATTTGGATTCATGCCGAATACATCTCTATGGAAGCTATAGATCTAGTGAGAGATATGATGGAGAAGTATAGAGAGAATAACGAGGATCAACATATGATATTTGTTTATTTAGAGAACGCATATGATAAAATTCCAAGAGTAGTGCTTTTGAGAGTTGTAGAAAAGAAAAAAATTATTAATGTTTATATTACAGTCATTAAGGATATGTATGCAGGAGTTGTTATTTGTGTTCAAACACAAGGTCATTTGACCAACTATTTTTCTATTTAAGTTGGATTACATCAAGGATTAGCTTTAAGCCCATATAGTGTTGCTTTAATTATGAATGTTCTTGCTAGATATTTGTAAGAGAATGTAACCTAGTGTATGTTTTTTTAATGATGATATTCTTCTTGTTGATAAGATTAGAGAGGGAGTTGAAGGAAAACTTAAAATATGGAGGTCAAACATAGAATCTAAAGATTTTCATTTAAGTAGATCTTAAATTAAATACATGGAGTTTAATTTTAGAAGCATCAAATCTAGCGGGGGATTGTAACTTTTGGACGATCAAGTCACTAAAAAGAGTACACATTTTAGATATCTTAAGCTTATTATTCAAATTAGTGATGGCAAAATGGGAGATATTATAAGTAGAATTCTAGTTTGATGGTTGAAGTGGAGGAATGCATCAGGCCTATTGTGATACAGAATAGTACGTTTCAAACTTAAGGGTAAATTCTATAAAAAGTGGAGAGACTAGCACTACTTCATGGCATAGACTATGTTGCACCGATAAAAGCAACATCATTTGTAGCCTTGTAGCTTATGATATCAAAATTCATCTCGGAAATGAGAGAACCTCGCTCGCAACCGCGGAAGTAAATATGATGCATCATTTTCTTAGATTTTTTTGGTTTTTCAACAGACGAACGTATCGAATACGCGTATTCTTTTGCAATTAAATATTATTTTAATTAGACACAGCTTTGCCGTATCTAACATGTATCAGTGTCGTATCAAAGGCGTATCCGTGTATCGATGTATCGGATACAACACGCCTTCATAAATAGGTGTATCGGTGCACCATAGGGCACAAAATTATGACCATTAAAAGAGAAAAAAAAAACTTAAGCTAAGTGTTGCAAAGATGAGAATGCTTTGCTAGACAAGTGGCTTCACTCTTGGAGAAAGACTGTAAAATGGTATATACGTGAAATGGTTGGAATAGCTCCAATGGCAAATAAGATTAGAGAGTCGCCTTAGATGATTTGGTCACATAAAACAGTGGCCTTCCCATGACCCTGTTAGGAGAGTAGATGCATTTGATTTGGTCTATATTAAGAAAGGTAGAGGTAGACCTACCAAAAAAAATTAGTTAGAAAATATTAGAAATGATCTTTTTATTAGATTTAAATGAGCATTTAACTCTGAACATGACATAATGAAAAAAATCGATTCATGTAGCTGACACCAAATAGTAGGATAAAGGCTTGATGAAGTTAAGGGGCTGTTTGAGATCAGTTTACATTTTTACTTTTTATTTGTGCTTTTATTTTTGAAAAGAAATTAAAATATGTTTAGTATCTTAAATATATGTCATATTGTTTTCATTGAATATTGTGTAAGTCAATTAATGAAGTGAGGGTGGTGAAAAGCGGGCAACAGTGGCAATCAACTACCATCATTGGCAAGTAGGTGGTTGAGAGTTCATGTTTTTTAAAATAAAAAAAGTATATATATATATATATATATATATATATATATGCACGCCCTCTAAAGTTTTGATGCTATGGCTTCTTCCTTTACAGAGAAATCAAATTATCAACCAATTTCTTTCTGTATGTTTTGAATTTATGGCTAATTACATTTTTTATGAGAATACCAAACAATATGAAAAAGCTTATCATCATCAGTATCAAAAGGATGATTCATAAATGTTAATTCTGATGCCAATAAGTATCATGCTGAGTCACTTTCTGTCAGTCTTAAACATAGTTATAGTTAAACATGTTCAATATTATCATCAATAGTTTCAACAAGCATGCATGAAACTCAATCTCAATTGGCAACATTATGGCGAGAACAAATATCTAAAAAAGACATTACCGAAATTCTAAAATCATGAAAGAGGCACTTGCTCATTTACAATCGAAAATCATAAAGAAATAAATGCAAAAAAATTTAGTAGAGCAACCTAACATTACTCCAATAATCAAGACAATGTCAAAGTTTGTCAATGTTGCCTTCATATTTTTATACTCAATTTGTGCTTCCACTTCCACCACAGACCTATCTCAACTCTCAAGACTGTATCCTTTATTTCAACTGAAAAGTTGTTATTAGTCACATATGCTCGTCTTAATTCTACCATTCTTCTCTCAACTCATCCTACCATTGAGTTTGTACAACCACTACTACCATCCATTAATTATAACATGATTTAAGTTAATAACATTCATTGTCAGGACCAATATTTTATATTGCTGCCACGAAAACTTCTGAATATCTACCATCTGCTCCTTGTATCCTCTGTTGTTAATTACATATCTATGCATGAGCTAATTTCACTTCCATCACCACCATGGTACCTTCAAACTCTACAGATAAAGGTTTCTTTTAAGCCCAAATGAATGATGCAAGAAATATGGCTAAAGGATTCTTTTCCAAATTAATAATTAGGCATGAGTATATTTAGTTTAACATGTTTTAGATGTTTTAAATATTTCATCTATATATAATAAAAACATGGTTCACTTCCTTTATAGTTAATAAATCTGAAAAGTATCGAAAGAAATTATATGTAATAAGGATGCATGATTCGCTTATTTAATACATAAAATATTATTTGATCAATCGTGTAAGCACTAAGTTTATATAAAAGGTTATAATCTCGTGTTAAGAAATGTTTATTATTGATTAAAATATTGATTTCTTATTATTTTTCTTGTTTTCTTGGTGGATTATAACTAAATCTCCTCTCCCCTTTGAACCACTCTTTCAATACACATTCACCTCCTTCTTGTTCACGTTAGATCACAAGTAAATGAAGTTTTTGTTTAAATTGAATAGTCCCATATTATTTTAAAATTTAGCTTGCATGGACATGACACTTGTTATTTACTTCGTTATGACAAGCCAAGTCAATTAGATCATTTTGTGTCTGACATTCACAGTGGATCAATATCCAAACTTGACACCAAAGTAAGAATCTAATGACCACCCAAAACAACCCAAATAAGGAGGTCAGATATGATCATAATACGAAGGCTCAAACCAATATAATTCTTTTTTAAGATTGCAAATAAATTTGGTTTAATAAACCACATATTTTCATCTCAATTAAACTAATCTAAAGCCAATAACAAATAAAATATTAGCCAATTTTATCATGATTCAACCTGAACTAATTTGGTTTAATCCTACTTCAATTGACTCATTACGCGATGATTTAGCGTCGCTTGAGAATATGCGGGCTCTGACTATGACCGCAATTTAATTGTGACATTTTGATGTAGGCCAAGGGGGGGGTCAAAACTTCTTGGGTTCTTTGGTCCTTTGGGCTATTGTTGCTTCTCGGGTTGGGCTTTGGCTGCTTTGGTTTTGAGCTGAATTTTTGGGACCTACTTGGTTCTAGCTCATTACTGCTTGAGCTAAAAGTTTAGCTCATTAATTTGAAAAGATATTCTTCTTGATTAGCTCATTAAGTGGAGTTAGTTCCTTGACTTTTCCCCTTCTTTGTGTCTCCTCGGTTTCTTCCTGTGTTGTTTCCCGTGGTTGCTCTTTCTCCCTTGCTGGGTGCTGGTTCTAGTCCCCTTTGTACCCCTTCGGATCCTCCCCTGGCTGCTGGTTCCGGTCCCCTTTGTGCCCCTTCGGTTCCCTGCCTGGCTGCTGGCCCGGTTCCTGTGCAGTCCCTTCGGTTTCCTCCTTGGTTGCTAGTCCCGTGGCTGATTTTTCCCAGTTTTCTATGGCCTTTTGGGTGCTGTTCTGGACTGAAAACTGGCCTAATTTAATGGGTTTAAATGAAGATAATTATGGCT